TTTTTTAGGCTTAATTTTTAGTCTATCTGAATTTTCATCTACTTCAATCCAGAATAATTTTCACTATCCGTAGAACTAGGTTCTGAACTTAACAGTACCAAAAGTGGATATTTTCAGAATTTTATCTCTGGAATAACATAGATTGCTTTTAGATATGAAGCATTACTATTACGTGCGAAAGAGTGCTTTGCCACAATTGCATTTTTGGCCACACTTGGTTGTATACCTCGACGCTCCTGTCAACAAACTTTTAGAAAATATCAAGGCCCGAGGAAACGTTAGTTTTAGTTGAAGCTAGTAGATTTTTATAATTATTTTCCGCTAAGGCCGACGAAATCGCTGCTGTAGATGAGAAATACTTGAAGACAATAGAAGCTTCGTACAAGGATTCACTCAAGGAATATAGGTAAATTGCCGTGCTTAAACCTTTATTGAAACTGGCTGTACACTTTTCTGGGACTCTTTAGGAGACACTCGAAAATCTTAGCATACGACTGGACGCGACCTGGTGATGCTGACACAGTCGTTGAAGACATCGAACGCATGGATTTTGACTTCTTCGAATGGCACTCCGGAGATGTAATGGAGGAGTGGTTTACTTTGGTAGATGAAGTTGGATGGAATGGTTGGCGGCAGCAGTCAGTTTTCCACTTATAACTATTAAACATCGGAATCCCTTTATCCCTTCTTGAAAGCAGTGAAATAGTATAGTATATTTGCAAGTAGTCATGAATCCCATTTTATATTGATATGATAACCGCGAAACGTTTGCTTGCAGGAAAAACATGTTTTTAGTGTGACATCAAAAGTTGACGCCAGAATGTATGCATTCGGAGGGATGTCCACTCATGAAGTTGGGGAACTCTACATCAACCCACGCGATGCTGGTCATTTTATGCAAGTTATGCGCAAAGAGGTATCTTCTAGGTTCACTAGATGACATTTTAGGTCTTTAAGCAGTAAAACTGTCACATAAAATTGCTTTCTCTTCACATTAATGGGGAAAAGTGACTGTTCACAAAAATCAAACATTTCTGAATTACCAAGAAAGACGTTCATATAAGTTTTCATAACCTAGGTACTCAAATCACCGTACGGATATGGGTTCATTACGAAAAATGGAGACCACATGACTGGTATGATGAACTGCCGAAATGAGCATTATCTTGCTGAGCCGTGGTAAGCTATTTTTAATCTTAGTCCCCTTGAACTAGTTCGACGTATTCAAATCCACTTTTTGAATATTTAGGTACGAATATTACTATAAGGAGGCGTATTATGACGATATGTCGTCGATGGAGGCATCATTGGACCCTCATGCCGATTCTTATGATCCCGATTACGTACACGCCCACCATTGAATGGGTCAGTGCTTAACGTGACGGAGATGCTTAGACTACAGAGTAGATGTAAATTTTGCTAATGTAAAGAGGTTATAGAATTAGTCATGTTGCGAAAAAATAAAAAATCCTACCTTTGAATCTATTTTATCAGTCGTGAAACATTATCTTTCTTATCGATAACATTACTGTACTGAAGGCATTTCTTCAGTTTTTTCAGTGTTACAAGAAGATGCATTACTTTCATTTCTGCCGCAGTACAAATTTTAAGATGGTAACCTTACATTTGTTTGCAAGTTGGAAACAAATTAAATGACCGGCTTTTTACAACTAAGCTCGTTCGAGTTTTTGAGTCAACGCATAAGTTTTTGCACTTTTCCTAGCTCGAAAAGCTCCAAATCACAAGTTTTGGCATGGATTCTTAGACCACTAGGAAGAATAGATCTTGCTTACAAATAAATGACGAATCGCTCATAAGTAAAGCCAGCATGGATCCAGACAATTTGTCGAAGTGAAGGTTTTGGAGAACAAAGAAGAGCTAATATGACAAAACAAATAAGATGAAGAAGTGTACGTATAATAAATTGAAATAATCGTCAGCATCAACTATCACGACTTTTAACCGGTTTTGGTGCCAAATATCAGACCGGGTATGTAATTTCCTTAGTGCTTCAAATAGCTTAATCAGTAGTTCCTAAAAAATCTGTAAAATTTCTTATGAAGAAACCTAGGAAGAGAAATGCTATTCTTGAAGTTGGAAATTGAAAACATTGAGTAAATGTGGGTCAAACATCAGCTTGCTGTCCCGAAATGCGCAATATATTCGGCCCACTCATGCCTTGAAGAATATGTACGCTGTCATAATGCAAACCGAATATACGTGTTCGAAGAGAATTTCGGTATATCTTCGAAAAAGCGCATTCGCTTTTCGAGGGTCGAGCAATCGAAAAAATGCATTTGTTCGATTATTCGAGTGGTTAGATTTTGAAACATTGAAATTCAAATATCAAGTACGAATAGTTTTTGAACTAAGATTCGATGTTCGATCTTTCAATGTCTGCAACGCAAATATTTGTTCGTTCAAATATTTGCGAAATAAGAATATCCGACCTCGATTTGTCATTCGAATAGTCAAGTATTCGGAAAAAATATTAATGCAATATTCGTGTATCCGGCCATGCTTAATTATTCGATAATTCGAGTAGTCGACTATACGGCATCCCCACAGTTCGAATTCATAAATTCAAAATATTAAACTGTTAGTCGAATAATTTTCATTCGTCACATTTTCATTACGAACTAATATGCGATATTCGTTCATTCGCAACAATTATCCAATGTTTCAACGATATTCGCTATATTAATTCATGCTGAATGGTCCGTCTCTTAAGGATGACAACATTCTAGCTATAAGTCTTTCTTCCCAGCGACTGTCCAGTTTTTCACATAGTATGAGTTTTCCTTTGAAATAAGCGTACTCTGAACAGGTTTTATAGAAACCTCTTCTGAGCTAGAAGTGTCTACGCTGGTACTCACTACGAGAAATTCGGCTGAAGACCAATGATGCTCAACATGAATTCCTAAGTTAACAAGTTGAGTTATATGACCATGAAGAATAAGGAGACAACATATTATTTTTGACCTAATACCAGAGCAGATGACCGAAGTGCGTAGATTCATCCGTGACTTGATTAACATCTGCGTTTTTCCAACAACATCGACTGTCATGCTCCTTTCGCATAGAATGTTAGACTTCTCGATGGTTCTCTGCAGCTAGCAGGCTCTCCTTATACGGGTTTCCCAAAACCTAAAAGCCCATATACTTGGTACTTCCTGTTCTGAAAGTTGTGATATGAAAACAGCTATCACCCAGACTGCCAGTAAGAGTGATGTAGAATTCACCACGAATGGTCAAGGAATTGAAGAGGGGAAACTTGAAATTTGAATTTTAAGACTTAGCCGTAGGCTAAAGTGCAAGTGAGAGATTTATGGGCTAGGAATAGGTACTCGACTACTTGTCGAATGGAGTAGAACAAAGGAGTAACTCACCTTTAAATCCACTGCGCGTCAGTAGTCCGCACTGTCGTAACGAACGTCGACGAGTGTCATTCAGCTAGTCTGGCCTATTTATAGTGCGGTTAGCTCACAAAGCGATGGGAAAGGCGTGAAATCACCCGATATGAATAAGCATTCATTTCTGCTAAACATACCAGGATTTTTGATGGCCAGGCCGCTTCTAACATTTTCCTTGCTGAAGACCAGTCTCATACTCCAGGATTACACATTTAACGTAAAGACGTTACCCTCATGTGCAAACTTATGTCTGCCCTGCGGCGATGCTAAGTCCCTTCGTCTTTTATCAGCCATATGCTCTTTAACTCTTAGACCTAGGGCTCTACCAGTCTCTCCTTCGTAAGAAGTGTGACAACACAAACATTTCAGTTGGTCTACAACACCTGCCTTTGTGCAATCATGTGCAAACAATACAACATTCTGATATGCATCCTATATCGTATAGCATGTTACTAATCCTTACCAACTGCTTTTTGATGTTGTATGCCGGGATGTTAACAAGCATAACGTAATCCATTTGGCTCAAACTATGCATTGTTTGATTGCTGCACTAAGTTGGTCTAGATCCGAGGTCCGAGATAAAGAGAAAGGAGGATTTCATCTCTGCGTGGAGCATGGTTACAGTTCGAAAGCTGAGGGCGTAATTTACAACTTGTTTTCGCATGTGTGTAACCGTTGCTTTTTGCAATTTCTGCAGCCAGCTTTCGAGACGCGAGTCGTTCTTCATCGCCAGTACATACTCCTACAACAGTTCTAAACATTTTACGAATAACAGCGCATTTCATAGCGGTAGGATGTGTTGATTGGCGTTTACGGAATGTTCTTTAAGTTTTCCTTGCGGTGCCATTTTATGTGAATGATACCGTCAGATAGTTTTACCTGGATGTTAGATAGGAAAGCCATTCATCGCAAGTAATTACTCCAATCAGTGTGATGTGCTGCGACTGCTGCTTCAGAATTTTGAAACCTTCATCAACTCGGACTGTGTTAATGTTGTGACACAGCATTCATGGCTTTCAGCATTCATGTAACAGCAGTACATCAACGGTAAGCGCGCAAGTACCGGCCTCTCAATTCTGCTCATAAAACACACAGCAAGAACTGGACTAGCCTTTAACCCATGACTAGCCCTCTTATCTGGGAGTAGAACGTCCCAGACCACTTGAAGATGTTACATTTTAAACGTTTCTAAAAACGGTCAATATTTGCGTTTTGCTTAAGCTAAAGATGTTATTTGATCAACATTTGACTAACATTTCCGATAGTGCTTGAAGAGCGTCGTCATTTTGAACACTAGGTATAGAATTACGTCGATCGACTGCATGATACTTTGAGGCGATATGCCAGCTGAACAAACTGACGGTGCTGAATAGATGCGAAGGCACCTATATTAGCAACTGGCCTATTAAGAAACCATGAACTTCAACGGTGAGGCCGCCTACGCAGCTGATTATCGGGCTAATTTTGAACACTTCCGTGACGTAGTATGGACTTGCAATATCAATTTTAAGTTTTTATTAGGTGGTAAAATATGGATCAGGTTGAATTTTCTAATTTTAATCTGCTTATAAAAATATCATCAAGCTTTGCAAATTTGCCTACACCAATCTAAATCTTGTTCATCCTTTTACACTGCAGATATCTCTTTTTTGTTGTACGCTGGCTTCAAACGCGTTCTCAACATCGCATCAACGAAGGCTAAGATAAGACGTAGGCGTTACTCTCGGGAAACCTCGATAATCCGAAAATCGTCTGTATGCGATCCACGCAGCAGATCCCTTGCGAAATTCAGCTTATTCTGCAGGTTGGGCCTCATCCAGTGTCCTTGATGCGAGTGAGAATAGTAGTTGTAAAGTACGCGCCATACGCATACTGAATGGTATTCCCATGATCCTTCCTATCACTTTTGTGGAGAGCTGTTTGGGAGATACTTCGCCATCCGGACACTTCTTCCTTTTGAAAATAAGATTTTAGACGTGCTGCAAGGATCTCGTGCAGGCGATATGCTCCAGCTCGTAAGAGGGCCGAAACATAGTCCGTCTCTGGCGAAGTCGATCATATCGTGGCCTAGTTTCGTAGCCGTGGCTGTCTTCTTATTTTGGATTGTGATGTGTACTTAGCAGGTAGAATCGTAACGGTATGTGATAAGAGGGCTTCAGATGTTGATGGGCAGAAGTGTTGGTATGGAACCTCCGTAAACAACCATATTTCGGCAAAATGTGGGGATCTCCTCTTCCTTTAGTGACCTTATCAGCGGGATACAGCAATGAAGATCCCGCAAGGCCTCTCTAGACTCCTCTATTTACGCTGCTTCCAACAGCTTGGATTGCCTGTATCTGCAAGATGTGATGTATTTGGGCTTAGCCTTGCTCCTCCTCTCAAGCAAATTCTCGTGGCTTTCGGATGCGCTCCAACTTCTTTAAAACATGAGATGCTCTCCAGCCTTTTAGTCCTCTAAAAGCATAACCACTCGTGGTTCTTCTCGAAAGATCCAGTCACAAGTGTTTAGGAACTTTTCCATCTGATGCCGTCATATATGTCTTCCTTCTTTCCGTGCAGTGATAGTCTTCTTTTCCAGCTTTCGACTTAATCGCATGTTCGCTGGAAGGAAAAGATGATCCACATCGTTGCAGAAGGATTCCACTGAAACGTTCGGTAGACGTTCCGCAAGTGTTCTTTCTCATAGAAATGGAGTTTCCATGAAAGAGCCGTACAACACATGAAACTCCAATATTTCGGTTGCTCTCCTCATTCCTTAGTCTTGCTCCAAATTTCCCAGCCCTATACACCCTTCTTTCAGGCTGGAGAGTAGCAGTGACCGATTTTCGCATTGTTGTCACTTAGCACGAATTTGTAAAGAAGATTTCTTTCGGATGACTTCCTACAAACCTCGTAAAAAGCACCTAGTCCGGTTCATCAACTGTTGACGGTGGAGATAGCAGTGGCTA